TGCGTGTGTGTGCGGCTGTGTGTGTGTGCACATGTGTGTGAGTGTGTGTGCGGTTGTGTGTGTGTGTGTGCGCACGCGCGTTTGTGAACTTAAGTCCTTTTATATAGGTGGAATTGGATATTGATTCCAGTCAGAGTCCAGCATTAAGAGCTCTACATTTGTAATGTAGTTTGTTACTTTGCTGGCTCTCGTGGCCTTGAAAGTTCCGTTTTATAAAAGGTCACCGAGTTACAGCAGTTTTTCACTCACTCTGTTGTCTGTGCCTAAGGAAGATTTGGTGTCAGCACACACGTTTACTCTGAGGTATGAAGTCCTGTGATTCACGTAGCATATGACAGACAAGGCGTTATACATGGGCTGGGCACAGGGAAATAAGTGGCACTAGGTTATTTTTTATTTAAGTGGCTTTTAGCCACTTAACAGAAGCACTTTTCTTCTGTTGGCGTGCGGCTGTCTGTCTTAGGGCTTCTGTTGCTGTGAGAGAGCAACTTGAATGGGAACGGACCCATTTCCCCTTACATGTCTGCGTCACCAAAGGAAGTCAGCCAGGGACTCAGGCAGGGCAGGGACCTGGAGGCAGGAGCTGATGCAGAGGCCATGGAGGGTGCTGCTTCCTGGCTTGTAATGGCTGTAACTCAGGACCACCAGTCCAAGGTTGGCACCACCCGGGCGTGGTGAGCCCGGACCTCCTGCATCAATCGTGAGCCAAGAAGATGCAGGCCTCCCCGCAGGCTAAGCTGATGGGGGCTTTTTGTCATTTGAGGTTTCCTCTTCTCAAATGAGTCTCTGCCCTGGAGACGGACCTCAGAATTAAAGAAGAACTAGGTGCATAACTAGAATTACAACCTTATCATCGACCCTGGGAAATTACATTTCATCTTGAGTGAGTCTGAAGATGATGTCATGTTTTTGATGAGTAGTTGAGAGTTTCTGTGTTTGTACACTGGGGGTGGGCTCAGACACACACGTATGCGCACATGCGGCTGTGGTGCATACGTTTAGGGATCAGAAGTGAACTTGCCGGGTCTTCCTCTTTAAATTTCCACCTTATTTTCTGAGACAGGATCCCTCACTGAACCAGCTAGGTTGGTTGGCCATTGGGCTCCGGGGGTCCACCTGTCTTGGCCATTGGGCTCCCAGGCCCCCCTGTCTTGGCTCACGCATTCCCCAGTGCAGCTGACTGTGTGGGTGTGGGGATTCTTGAGGCAGAAGACTGATAGGATTTAGATACTTAAAGAGAGCCCAAAGACAGTGGCCTCTCAGCAGGGAGTTGGGTCCTAGGCATCAGTTTTAAGGCCAAGGTAATTGGGAATTTAGATTTTACTTGTGTGCACTGGGAAGCTGATAAAGGGTTGGTTTGTGTTTTATGAAGATTAGACAGGTGAGCAGGAAAGGGTCTGGGAAGAGAATTGGGGGTAGAAAGAGAGTTAGTAGAGAAAATATGGCACCCAGGCCACGGCAGGAGCCGGTTCCAAGTAGATTTGGGAGACAGAATCACAATTTTTTATTAGATAACTGAGGTAAGGGAAATGCCAGGCTTCTGGAATTGTGACTTGAAGAAAACTACATTGCCATTTCTGAGGCAAGGGTATGGAGAAACAGCTTTGGGAGAGACCAAGAAAGCCTTCGCGGTGTTGGCAGGTGGGTGGTTTAGTCCACACTCTGAGCACAGAGCAGACATGTGAGCTGAGGTTGGGGGACAGGAAGTATTTACAGCCCTGGGAAGCGTGCTGTTTGCTGTGGAGAAAACTCAAGAGAGAAGAAGGTCCAGGATAGAATTCCCTGATTGGAGTAATGTATGGCTGGGCTGGAGAAGCAGCTTGCAGCTCAGGAGCAGAGAGCCAGAGTAAATGGTGTGTCCTGAGCCCCAAGACCAACAAGCATGTTGACAAGGACATCTGCTTTCAGAGTCAGGGTTGCCAGGATGAGCTGATGGTCGGCTATGTCGGCTGCAACCATACCAGTGCTGTGGTGGAATCCCCAGCTAGAATGAGGCAGTGGGTGGCACAGAGGAGACAGAGAGGCAGAGAGAGGTGTGCTAGTAGCTGAGGGGTGTGCAGATCTGCCTTTTGTGTAGCACACTAGCTGTCAGTGTTCATGCAAAGGAAGACACAGACCGCTGCCTCATAGAGCAATCAGAGGCAGGTGGCAACTCTGATTTCCTTTTGCATCTAAGAAAACCATGCTATCAGTTGTCCTCTTCCAGCCAAAGTGGAAGCCTAGGACAAGAGGTCTGTCTATTTAAAGATCTACATGCCAAATAATGTTTTCATTAATTCTTTGAAAACCCAGCATAGCGTGTTCAGTCATTTTTCACCCTAGCTCCTCGCAGGTCCGATTGCCCCTCCAACTACCCATCTGTTTAAATTATTAAATTACTGAATCCAGTTTGTGCTACCCATGTACTTGGGTGTGGAGTCATCCCCAGGGGCACAGTCTACCTACCAGGAACCGAACCCTCAAACAACACCCGAGTTTCCCCTTCCAGCGGCTGTCAGTTGCCAATAGCTCCTGGTTCCCGGATGGGACTCGATGCCCACCTTCTGGCCCCGCCTCAGACTCCATGCGGGGGTTCTGTCTGTCTGTCTGTCTGTCTGTCTGTCTGTCTCCAGTTTGCACAGGTTCTTCTGCGTGTGCTGTCGTAACTGCTGCGAGTTAATAGGTGCCGCTGCCCGAGTGTCTGGAGAACACTGCTGTTGTCTTCGCTCATCACTTCTGACTCTTAGGATCTTCCCACCTCCTCTTCCTCAATGATTGACGCGCCTTGGCGGGGAGGAGTTGTGGTAGAGATGCCCCAGTCAAGGATGAGCATTGTAAACTTTCTTCTACCCCCTTGACCAGCCGTGGTCTCCGTGTTAGGCACCGTCTAATGCGGCAAGATGTGTGGGTGAAGCTTTGTAAATGCACTGTTCTATGGGCATAGAGATAAGTTCGGGGGTCAGCTTATTACTATGCCCATTTAACACGATGGTGATAATAGGTTCTCCATTACAGCCTGAGACCCATCCAGCCATGGGTCCTTGGCCCAGTAAATGGTGCCTGATCCTATCATCACACCTGTTCACATCCTCAAGCTAGGGGCAATGATAGTTGAACTAAAAGAAGACAGGAAGAAATGGGTTTTACCTTACATCAGTGGTTCTCAACCTGTGGATCTTGACACCCCCCCCCGCCCCTGTGGGGGGGTCACATATCAGATATTTATGTTACGATTCACAACAGTATCAAAATTACAGTTACAAAGTAGCAATGAAAATAATTTTATGGTTGGGGGTCACTACAATGTGAGGTTAAAGGTTGAGAATCGCTGCCTTAGAAAGAAGGGTGTGTGGGGGGAGGGGATACTATGCTGCAATTGCTGCTAAACCACATTCGCTGGCTTGTATTTGGTCCTCAGATGAATTGATTACTGGAACTACCTTTCGCCTTCCTGAAATTCATCATGGAATCTGATTTCCACAATACTAACCCCTTCCCCAACACGCACACTCTCTCTCTCTCTCTCTCACACACACACACACACACACACACACACACACACACGATTCCTTTGCGCTCACGCCAGCATCCAGAATAAGAAGACCAAGGAAAGGCAATATTTGCTTTCAGGATGTATTTAAAAAGCTCAAGTGTAATGGTGGGATGGCTCACAGTCTTGCTCTGGGTTTGACATTTATGTTGCTTAGGGTGGCTCAGCACATGCCAAGTCGATATGTCTTTTATTGGACAGAAGAAATAGCTGGCGACTTAGAGGAGGAACCCTACATTGATGGGAGATGTCATTCTGTAAATATGCTTCTCTTATTGGTTAATGAATAAAGCACTGTTGGCCAATAGGGAAGCAAGATAGGCGGGACTAGGAGAGGTCGGGGATTCTGGGAAACGTAGAACGGAGTGGTGATGTAATCTTAAGGGGAGAGATGGGTGAGTCTGGCGTTCTCAGTAAGATAAAACCATGTAGAGGTACATATATTAGTGATTATTATGGATTAGTAATTAGAACAAAGCTAGCCAATAAGAAGCTGTAGTCACTGGCCAACAGTTTCAAAATTAATACGAGTCTCTCTGTGTGTTATTTGGGGCTGAAGCAGCTGTGGGACCAGGCTGGTGGGAAAGTGCTTGTAACACTACATGAAGAGTATGGATAAAGCGCTGATTGGTGTTTGTAACAGTCCTTTACTGAAATGGCTTAATTACTGAATGATGGGCATGCTGTAGGGCCACTGGCCATAGTTGCATAGTCCTATATCACACCAGTGCATATGTCATTGACTTAAGGTGTTACGCTAGCCCTTGGCTCCGAATATGTTTTTTTAAATCCGGTAACTAAACGTAGAAATCGTAATGCCTGAACCCTTACAATTGGGATATACATATTCAGCAAACACATGCTCCTCATCTGCTGAAATTTCACTTGTGGCCGTGATCTATTGTGAGGAGACTCTATTGGTTATTACAGATTAGTTTCTAGTGCGTGCCCCAGTTAGGGTTTTAATTGCTATGAAACATAGTGACCAAAACCAAGTTTGGGGTGAAAGGGTGTATTTGGCTCACATTTCCATGCCACTGTTCTTCACGGGAGGAAAATCAAAACAGGACCTCAAACAGGGCGGAACCTGGAGACAGAGGCTGTGAAGGGGGCTGCTCACTGGCTCGCTCCCTGTGGCTTGCTCATAACCGGGACCACCAGCCCAGGGATGGCCCCACCCAGGATGAGCCATACCCTCCTCCATCAGTCACTAATTCAGAATATTCCCTGCAGACCAATGTTACGGAGACATCTTCTTAACTGAGGTTCCTCCTCTCAGATGACCTCACAGTGTTACATGTCGGCTTTGAGCCACTGTGAGCACCACCCCGGGGCACCCCCTCTACCCAGGTGTGCAGCCTAGGACTGTGCCGGCTGTGGCACCTCCCTCTCTCACCCTCCCTTTCTTACTAGTTTTCCTGGAAGATAATGGCACCCACTGACAGGCGCTTGCCTCCCTCTCTGCTTGCAGAACAATCAACCATGACGACCGAATCGGGATCAGACTCAGAATCCAAGCCAGACCAGGAGGCTGAGCCCCAGGAGGCCTCAGGGCCTCAGGGACAAGCAGGGCCACAGCCGGGACCAGAGCCTGCCGTCGGAAGGAGCGAGGAGCCTGCGCCAGAGCCGTTCCCTGCAGCTGCTGCACACAGCACCCCGGTGAAGAGGGAGGTGAGCCTGGAACATCTCTGGGGAGGGTCATCAGTGGTGTCCCTGTGGAAGGCGTTCCTCAGTCAGGGCTGGTACCTCCTGACTCTGATTAAAGCTGTGACACTCAGCTGAACTACTGACTGGAGAGAGTCTGCCTAGATCTGAGTTTACCGGGAGGCAGACAGCAAGCTGGCAGTCCTGGCTACGCCTCTGGCTGTTTTCATATCCAGCTATAATGGATGAGGGCGGAATTACTTTTCCCGGCCATATTTCTGACCCGGCACTGCCATCTACTTCCAGAGACTATTTATTTGGGGAGGACCCCCTCTCCCTCGCATACATTCATAGGTCCTTGTACATGTTAGGGAACATGGGGGGCCATCGCTTCTGCCCTTTGTCAGACGGAGCGCAGTGTGGGGTGTCTGCTTAGCCTATGGAGGTTTGGTATCATCCCCACTATTACCAAATGAATAAAAACCAATAAGTAAGTATAAGCATGTAGATAAAATCAAAAGAAGAAAGTACGATGATGGCCAGGATGAATCAGTGTAGTCTGGAAACTTCAAACCTGCGTGTTTTAGAAAGCTAACCTGTTCGTGATAAAGGGGCCTGGAGCCCGAGGAGCAATTACCGTTCCGAGGGTCTTCGTAGTTAGAAATTGTAGCAGATGTTGAGTGTATGTATATGAAAGACTCTGTTATGATGACATTGACCACTTTTTTATGAGGCAGGGTATTTTACTGTGGTCACAAGACATTGGCAAGTAGTGGTTTCCATGTAGCATGGATGGGCCTGGACAGATGGCCCAACAATTCAGAGCTCTGGCTGCTCCTGCAGAAGATCTGCTCACACCCTCCAGGACTTAAATTCCAGGGCATGGTAATCCCTTCCCTGCACTAGGCATACATGTACTGCACATACATACATTCAGGCAAAGCACCCAGACATATAAAAATATAAGAAATAAGTCTTTAAAATATGAAGGAAACCATGGAGTCAGGAGACTTGGCAAACCTGAGGTGTGTACCACAGCTGTCATAACAGCTTACTGTGTTCCATAGTAAACATTCTTGTAAGTGGGAACACGACACTGTAAAGCTGTTTAAACGTGTGTTATAGTAAAACCATGGACCAATAATATGATAGTTGATTATAGTTAGTTAGTATGTGCTATACGTGTCTCTGCTGTTCTCTGACGTGTCTGATTAATACAGACATCGCCGACACGTGAGCTTTGTAGGGTTTTGGATTTTACAATGTCAACTATATCACACCGCAATAGGAATTATGTGCTTCCATTAATTTTCCTTTACTCTTGGGAATTTCATACCTGTATACAACAAATCATTCACTCCTGCCCCCTAATTACCCTACATGACTTTCCCCAAAGCCCTTCCAACCAATTCAGCTCTCATGTCTTAAGAGACTACCGTCAAATACGTGATCTGTGTGGTGTTACATGGCCATGATTGTACTTTCTGTTCTATAGTCAAATGTTTGATACCAGCAATGGATATGATACTGAATCTGCAGAGGGAAATATGCCTGGATGCAGAGTTCTGAGTGAATCCCATCTCACATCATCATTGGTCTGCTTCTGAAGACTCTTACAGGCCTTTGGTCATCAAACACTGTATCACCTTTACAAAACATTAACAATGAATCTTTCTTAAGGTCTTCTACCAAGATCCTTGCCTTCACTCCTGGGAGCAGTGTTAGAGATAGATCTAAGTATATTTGGTCCTAGAATGTGGCTTTGAACTTGGCTAAATTTTGCGGCCCTTCGGGAAGTTTCCTAGCCTCCCTGGTCCTGCGGCTCCTCGTTTATAACTGAGGTTTGTAGCGCGTACATATCAGAGCAACGAGGAAGACTGAGTGGAATGGAGGATTTGCTAAAATGATTGGCAGCCATGCATCTCATGACTCTAATTGGCAGTTCATGAGACACTTGGTCTGCTTCTCCAGATGTGGCTTGTAAAATCCTCGGTGGTAGGTACCGACTTCATGTGTTCCAGAAAGATCTCTCCTTGAGCGATGGCTGCTTAATGTCTGCACAAGACAAGCAAACAAACATCACCTGAAGTTCATGTTTAACTAAGCCAGAAAGCTTGTTTTCATACAGATATTAGTGGTGGGCAAATGGTCTCATCTCATGTACTATATAGAAAACAGTGATTCACAGCAAAATTTAAGTTAAAAGTAGCTTCAGTTGACTTTGCATGGAAGGAAACAACAATTTAAATATGTTGAGATCATACATAAATTATAAAGTCTCTGATAAGATGTATCATGATTGACAATTCCAGGATTACTGTACTGCCAGATTAATGACATTTTATTGATTTCTTGCATTGACCATTTTGATGGCTTGATACAGTCAAAATAGTCAGACTAAGTTGTCAGAATGGGTTTTCTTTAGTTTATTAACTTGTTGAAGTTTACTTTCTTAATTGCCTTGGCTTTCAAGATGGTCATTCCGCCATTGTTTATTTAGTTATTTTAAACAAGGCCTCCAAGTAGGCATCTCCTGCATCAGTGATTTAAAATACATACATCGAAGGACAGACATTCACCACTTTAGGTTTTGGGTTTGTTTTTTTATATTCATTTATGTAAATTATCTTATGTTAATAACTGCTTATAATTTATGGGCACTTTTGGTGGAAGAAAGGACTATATTCTCCATCTTATTTATATGAAAACCAAGGTAGAGAATGCAGGGAAAATAGAAATCTGTGATACACTAAAATGATGCTGCTTCAAAAATGGTAGAAATCAGCAAAAGTTGAAACACTAAACTGTTGATGCTGCTTTTACTCAAGGTCCCAGGCCTTTTTTGTGCCTGGCTGATGGTCCATCCGTGTGAGAAATCCCGTGTTGACTCCGAGGGTCGGTTCTAAGTATCAGTGTCTTTTTCTGTGCACTGCTGGTATTGCAGACCATCCAACCATGCATCAGGTTTGCATGCCACTGTTGTGGTGAGCAGGTAGAAGGGGGATATAGGAACACCTGGGAAGCGGTGTTCGGATGTTCTGGGGAGCTGACACGGGAAAAGCTCGTGTCCTGTTGGATGTTTCCCCGCATCAGTGAGACTGGCCCAGATTAAAGCTTCACGCACATTTTATATGTCCTCACACCAGCTCATTACCAGGAAGAGAACAGACCCAGGGCATTACACTGTGTTGAGCTTCCATCGCTGCTGCTGACTTCGGGAACTGATGCAGGGCAGGATCGAGCGCTTTAGCACTTATAAAATTACTGTCAAGATTAACCCTTGCAGCTCTCTAAGCCGTAACGTCTATGTCTTGTGAGTGTGTGGTCAGAGAATGCAGACGTATCCAGTGAACTATGAAAACAGTGGTGGTTTTGAGACCTTCTCTATCCATTGTCTCTGAAAAGTCAGGAATGGGTTTTCTTACTTGCCTACTGGGATCTTAATAGAATTGGCTAATTTTCTTCTCTGTGAAGTCCTGGGTCAGCTGAGGAAAGTCCCCCATGGTACATTTAAGAGAGTGGGGTGATTTAGGTATAACCGGGCATCAGGAATATTCAGATCTGTGTATCTACTCCTCGAGTCATGGTGAGACAGCCCACATCCTCTAGGAAACAGGACCACAGCCCGTCTCTCTGGAGCTGTGCAGTGTCTGAGCAACTCAATACCCATTTCCTGTCCGTTATGAAAGGTGCTCATTGTTGCTGTTCGTAGGTCAGCGACAAAGACCGGGACTTTGCCGCCGCAGCTGCAAAACAACTTGAGTATCAGCAATTTGAAGACGATAAACTCTCTCAGAAGTCGTCCAGCAGCAAACTCTCACGGTCTCCACTGAAGATCGTGAAAAGGCCTAAAAGCATGCAGTGCAGAGTGACACTTCTGGATGGGTCGGACTACGGCTGCGATGTGGATGTAAGTGGGCTCTGGGATGTGGGGAACGGCCACAAAATGTGCAAGATGACGTTTCCCAGAACTTGGGAAAGTCATTCATCCGCACAGTTGTTCGGCTCTCTGGCAGGAGATTAAATTACTACAAGCTTGTAGTGTCCCAAAGTGGGATAGTATATATAAAAACAAAAACAGATGGGCATTTGGCCTTTTCCATGTCAAAGACAAATGCGAAGACATTGGAGGCTTAAAAAATGCACTTTGCTTTAATACTCGGGCTGTGAGCAATACTTCAATTTTATCTTTTCTATTAGCATAATTTGTGGCCCAGGCATCCTGTGTAAATTCTTTACATGATAGTAATTGGATAACTTAAAAAGATCATGTCCTTTTCTTTCTGAATAATTATTTAAAAAAGAGAGAGAGAGACAAAAATTACATGTAGTAGACTTTGAGTCTCCATGTAAAATATTATACTTCTCCTTTGTTGTGTATATGTGTTCTCGAATGCACATTCATCTGCCCCGTCCTCTCTTCCTCTCTCTTTTTAAAAAGAGTTTTATGTTCAAAATCACGTATACTTGTGTTTGTCTATGTGAGTAGATGTGTTCATGGGTGCAGTACCTGAAGAGGCCAGAAGGGGGTGTCAGAATACATGGAGCCGGAGTTTATGAGCACTTGGGAGCTGTAGGAATCAGTGCTGGAAACTGAACGCCCGGAAGATCTGTTGGCCACTGAGCTATCTCTTCAGCGTTCACTCCTTTCCCTTCTGCTTAGAACCTGTTTCATTCTCGTTATATTTTGTGTAATATTGTAGTTGGAATCTTCTTTGGGCTTGCCAACCGGCTCCCAAATAAAGACACAGAGACATTATTAACTATGAATGCTTGGCCTTAGCTTAGGCTCGTCCCAATAGCACTTTTAACTTAATTTAACCGGTTTCTATTCCTCTACATTTTGTCTCAGGGCTTTTTACCTTCCTTTCATTCTGTATGTCCTACTTTCCTGCTTCATCCTGTGTCTGGCTGGCCCCTGGAGTCGTCTCCGTTTCCTTCCTTTTGAATCTAAATTCCTCCTCCTACTAACCCTCCCTGCACAGAAGTCCTAGGTATATCTCCCCCGTTGCTGTTGGCCATTCAGCTTTTTATTAGATCAATCAGGTGCCTTAGGCAGACAAGATAAAACAGCAACACATGTTTACATAGTTAAACAAATATCCTGCAATATAAACAAATGTAATACATCTTTACAAAGTTAATCAGATGTGACACATCTTTTCAAACAAACAAATATTCTGCAACATATTGTTCTTCTGTGTACAATGTCTCTCTCTCTCTCTCTCACATACACACACACATTTATTTCAGAGTTAGTGTCATCTTGATGGGAATAAGGGATGGATTTCTAAGTTATTTCAGATAGCAGGACCATAGAAAACTAAATTCTTACATTAAATAGAGTTACTTAATCTGTCATGTGCTGATGATTACAGAATTTAGTCATATAAAATTCAATGGGCCAGTCCAGTGCCTATTAGGCACCCAAAGAGTCTGCTGAGCAGAGATCTGCTTACATTTTGCTAGCTCTGATTTGAATAATTTTTCAACAGTAGCTTATTTAGAGGTTAATTATGGGGGGGGGAGGGCAAATGATGAGCCTGTAGCAGGGTTTTACTATGTGGCTTAGAGGGCCTCTACAGTCTTGTGGGAGACTGTATTTTTCCTGTGAAGATCTACTTAATGAGAAATTTTTGCTGTCCAGAGAGAAACTTCCTTAGCTTTAATTGCATTTATATAATAGAATGAATGGGTTGCTTTATTTTCCTCTGGTCATTGCTGTGTTTTCTAGGGAAGATTATACATGGAGAAAATTTCATGTTTGGACATAATGCCTTGGGGATGACAGATTGCGTTTATCATTCTGCCAATTTAATTTATACCCAATGCCTTGGCTTCCTTATAGATCATCACTGTAGTTTTGAGTATAGAATCCTTATTTGATAATTAACTTAATAATTTATTGTTACCTTTAGTATCACTGTGATCATTTTGTGTGACATTTCAATGTTGATCTTTCGTATATGACATTATGAATCTGAAAGATTTATAAGTATGCATTTTTAAACTTTTTAGTTGAAAAAAAATCTCACAATGTATTTTTTTTTTGAATCAGGTTTTCCCTTCCATCAATTCCTTTCAAATCCTCCCACCTTCTTACCTACCAAATTTTATGTGTTTTCTCTCTCTCTCTCACTCTCTCTCTCTCTCTCTCTCTCTCTCTCTCTCTCTCTCTCTCTCTAACAAAACAAAAGTAAAAACTCAAAAGACCATTTAGACAAAAAAAAAAAAAAAAAACCCAACAACAACAACAACAAAAGCAACAAGCTCAAACAAAACAGACAAAAAGTCTACAAAATCACCATTGAGTTCGTTTTTTTGTTGACCACCTCTTTCCGAGCATAGTGCCTACCCTGAAGTGTCATTTCCATGCCCAGTGAGACCCCATTGAAGATAACCGATCTTGTCTTCCTTTGGGAGCAAGTATCCATTGCAGATAATCGTTTGGCTAAGGGTGGGACCCAGTGTCTGATTCCCCTTCTCAGTGCTGGCACCACATCTAGCTTGAGCCTGTGCATGCTGCCATAGTCTCTGTGAGTTCATACGTGCATCCAATCTATTGCATCTGGAAGACACTGTCCTGTTGAAATCATTTATTACCTCTGGCTCTTAGAATTTCTCACCTCCTCCCCCCATGGACCCCTCCTCATTCTGGATCTAGTGCTTCAAGGTCTCTCACATTCTGCACATTGTCCAATTGTAGATCTCAGTGTTAGCTTCATCTACTGACGGCAGCTTAGTAAGACACCAACTTATTGGTGTAGCAGCTTATCATTATGAGTCACTTTCTATATTCTTTTAACAGAATAGTAGTTTTAGGTTTTCCCCTAGGCCTCTCTAGTCTAAGGTGTTGGCCACTTTAGCAGTGTCAGATATGAGTTTCATCTCATAGAATGGGCCTTAAATCCAAGTAGAAAGTGGTTGGTTACCCCTCTGACACTTCACCACTATTAACACCAATATATGGTGTCATTTCAGAAAGTTTTCATATGACGAGTTCAGGGCTACCCCCTACTTTGTCATCTATCAGATTCGGTGTGTGTGATCCTACATTGAGGTTCTTGATTCATTTAGAGTTGAGTCGTTTTAATCTAAAATTATCACCAGCAAAGTAGTTGCCAGTTTCCTAACAGGTAATAAGAATGGGTATGTTAACTACCCACATCTTTCTGGGAAAGATACAGGATGTGGTAAAGTTCACGAGATTCATTCATTGCTGCGTGATTGAGCTATAAAAGATGGTAAATCAATATGGTGCCTCTCTGGGCTCCAGGGATTGCTGCTTGACATTCCCTCCTATATTTGACCTAAACTGTGAGGTGGAAGGCACAGCTCAATGGTACCACGGGCATCCCAGGAAACAGACTGGGAAGGGGTATAGAAGGCTCTGGTCTCCTCAGAACTGATTTTCATTAGAGAATTGGATCATAAAGTACAGTTCCTAAGTCAGGAACAGTTTTACGGACCACAGTTCCATGGTCAAATCTCATGTTCTTGCGAGGCAAAGCTGGTGTGTTAACAGCATGAAAGGAGATGAATCTTGACTCTGTAAAAGAAGTGTATTGGTTGATGGGGCACCAGTCTTGGTAATCGTTTAGGTACAGCTGTGTTTGGGTTTAAGTGATTACAAACTCAGATGCCAAGCCAGCTTGTGGAATCGCAGGTTACCTCTGTGGAAGACCTTGTAGATGGCATTGAACTGTTGGGTAGACCGGGGCATGTTATTGAACCTGGGGCCATCATGCTCATGTATGAGCCTGTTATCAGGCAGGAATGTGACTTGAAGAAACGTCCGCAGACTTTCTAAATGTTGATTATTTTTTTGTGGTTTGAATGTGTTTTCTTAAAGTTTTCTCTTGGGAAACTTGTATGTTAACAGCATTTGGAGAGAGGACTTTGGGGAAATAGCTAGGATTAGATGAGCTCATGGAACAAGGCCCACACGGCATTAATATGTCTGTGAGAGGGAGGAGTGAGCAAGACCCTCGGAAGCATGCAAGTTCTGGCTCACAGTGCAATATCCTTCACCATGTCTCACCAGGCACCTAGGACTGTGAGCCAATAAACTTCTCTTCTTGGCAAATTACCCAGTCTCAGGTATTTCATTAGAGAAACAGAAGAGATTAAAGAATTTTACTCAATGTTTGAATTTGAATGAAAGTATTTGCCTTAAAGGTGTATTATTGAGGGCCACTGTAGGTTAGCAGGCTTGGACACCTGCAACCATGCCTGATGGTCTGAGTTCAATCCCCTGAACCCAGTGATAGAGAACTGACTCTCAGTTGTCCTCTGACGTTCACACTCATACCTGTGGCATGTGTGCTCCTATCTCCTACACATAATAGACACAAAGAAAGGAAAGAAAACTATATTTAAAAATTAAATAACTTAAAATACTTTTGAGGTGTATGCTATCCTTGGGAAGTGGAAATTATAGTTAGCTATCTTATAATGATACTAGGAGAAATTAATTCTGATATGAGCTTATATATCAGAGGACTTTAGAGTAGAGTGTGATCTGAAACCCTTCTCGTGAGAATTATCGGGGATTTGCATAAATTTGCATATATTGAGTATGTGTATTCAGAGGGACCAGGAGTTATTCTCGAGGACTTAGAGAAGTTGCTATTGAAAGGTTCTCAGAAACGTATGTGCAGAAAGCTAAGGTCAGAGATACAGCAAGTCTGTCTTCAGTGAACACAGAGAATGTTTTAAAGATTAACCTTGGGGAAGGTAGTTCATGCCCTGCCCTAAAACTAAAAGGAGCTTGGGAGAAACTAGATGAATTGAGAGGCCGTGTTTCCCTCAGACAGCACCTACCCCCTTCCTTCTGGTAGAATTAAAGACATACAGTCCTCAGTAAAAGAAGCAGTGTAGCTTCCCAGCCTGATGCCCCAAGATGTGTGG